CTTGGCTGGGCCCCGCGGGTACGTGTCCGAGCCACAGAGCGGGGGGCTGACCACCAGCTGCGCTCGCTCATAGTCCACCTGCAACACACACACACAGACACAGAGTGAGGCTGGGAACAGCTCCTTCCTCCCTGCCTGCCCTGCCCTGCCCCTCCGTCCATCTCAGCCCCCTGGAGGGCCCAGCAGAGCTCCCCCATTGCACCCCCTCTGCTCAGCACAGCACTGCTGCCCCAGGCCGGGCAGGGATTTCCACACCGCGGGGCTGCAGTGCCCTCAGCACACTCAGGACATCTCCTCTGCATCCCAGGTCCGTTCCTCTGTCCAGGCACCTGTTTGGGCACTCCAGAGCCTTTGCTGAATCACAGAATGGCCTGCATTGGAAGGGATCTACGCTTACAAAAGTGTGTCTGCTCTGCATCTGCAGTGCCCTGCAGGCTCTCTGGGCCATTTCCTCCAAGATTCCATCCCTGTCACATCCATAACACTCGCCCTCCAGCAAATTCCAATCTGTGTCTTACCAGTACCTGCATTTTGATTCTCAGCTCTTAGCCTTATGTTTTTCTGCAGCAATTCAGGGATAACCCAACCCCTTCCTGTGGAGGTGGTAGCACCCTAAAATCCCTGTCATCTCCTGTCTTGCCATGCTGCCAGCTGTTGTCTGAGGGACTGCTTACGTGAGTCTGATAAGGAGCCTAATTCAATTCACCATTTCTTAAATCATTTTCCACAGCGACACACTACTTAACTGCAGTGTCACAAAACTGCTAATTTTCATCTGAAATCAGAGAAAATCGCAAAGGAAATTATCCCAATGGGAAGCCTGGTTCATTTGTAGGTTCCTTTCTATTTTTTGTATTTTCCAAGCTTCTCTAAACTTCTTACATTGAAGGCTAATGAATACTCCACATTTACAAACACAATGGTTTGCTTGCTTCCATCCAAACTAAACCCCCCCCAAAAGATGTAGAACAAAAAAACCCACCCAAAAAGGATATTTTTTTCCTCTGTAAAAGAACATCTTCACATTTACAATATGTGACTCCTGCTGATGTGTGGAGCATCTCAGGGAGGGGGGCGGTTTGACACAAGCTCATCATGTAGCACAATTACAAATAATTATGGCAATGAGTTCATTTAATCAATCAATTTCAGTGGCAGTGCACAGGGATGGACAGAGCAGCAAACTCTACACAGCTCATGGTTGCTACTATTACTGCTGGCTGCCAGCCAGGAGTCCCTGATCCATGTTAGTTAAATGCACATTAATCTGAATTTGGCAGTGTAATCAAGGACCCAACTGAACTGTGAAATTGAATTCTGCGGTGGAACATCATTTGACCATTTTATGCTAAGACTGCAAAAAAAAAAAGGAAAAAAAAAGAAGAAAAAAAAATCTGCCGCAGCATCAATTTATCAGCGTGGGCTCTGCACCGTGAGGAGGAGCCTGGGGCTGGAGGTGCCTCCAGAGCAATTCTCTGCTGGCCTTTCCCACCTCTCTGTGAGCCACCAGGGCTGCTGGGCCTTCCTTCACTCCACCAGGGCTCTGGGGAAAGGGGGAATGTCCCTGTAGAGGGGCTGCTCAGAGGCTCCCCAGCACAGCTTTAGTGGGATAAGGGGGAATGGCCCTGCAGAGGGGCTGCTCAGAGGCTGCTCAGAGGCTNAGGGACTCCATCACAGACAGACACAGGGACTCCTCCAAAGACACTGGGACTCCTCCCTGCTGCAGGAGATTTTCAGATGACACGAGTGACTGGAGCGTGGCAGGGAAGCAGCTTGGTGCTGCACAGCATGCAGGACCTGCCTCAGGCTGTCACTGCTCGAGAGATGCTCAGTTAGAGCCAGCCCAGCCTCCAGGGAGGCAAAGCCAAGCCCAAATAACCAGCACAGTCCTGCACTGTGTAAAGAAGAACTGGTTGAAGTTTGCTGTTTAATATTGCAATTAAAAAATGTGATGTTTTCAAAGGTTTTAAAGAATCCAATCTGTCGTGCTGAGGGAAGACACACAGTGTACAGGAAACAAAACATAGAATTAAAAGGTTCATTCTCACAGGAGGCTTCCTTGGGAGTGGTTTTGGTATTGATCAGATATTTACAAGTGATCTCAAAAAGGGAGCAGTGAACACACCCCACCAGATGCTTTAAGGGAGTAAGAAGTTAAAAAAGGAGAAACTCTGTAAGTTGCAGAAGGTACTGTCAAGCCCCAAACAAACTGGGTGAAAAAATGGCAAATGAAAACCAGTGCTCTGAAATTTAAAATAACATACACAGGTAAAAGACCTGTGGGCTCTGAGCTGGCTGCAAGCACTCAGGAGAGGAGATGTGGGAATTAACTCAGATAATTCCATGGAAAAGGACTCACATCTCTTAGCTTAGTACCATCAACACAGCACAGGGAGTGCTGATGGTGAGGAGAGGAAGGAGGGAGGAAACAAAGCACGTGTATGCCAGAAATACAGCACACACACTCTGGAGTAGCCTGGTTAGCTTGGATCCTCCCTCCTGGAATAATCAGCTGTGCCAGCAGACAGACAGAAAAGGCAGCAGGGCCACGTCTGAGCAGCTGACACACTGCATGCACCAGCTGACACATCTCTCAGCTGTTTCCTGGGACAGCACCAGAGGTTTCAAGCCGGAGGAGAAGTGGCTGAGCTGAAACTGGAATGGCTACACAAAAGACATTCAAGCACAGCCGTGTGTGGGACTCCTCCCCTCGTTTGCCAAGGTATGAATGTGGCTCCCGATGGTGGCATGTGGCCCACATCTCCTGTTGAACCCAAAGCCCCCGAGGCACCCCCCAAGCCCCCGTACCTCATTGAAGAGCAGCTCCCTCCTCTGCTGCTTCCTGAGGTCCATCTTCTTGACGGCCACCTGCTTGCCCGAGTGGCGCTCGGTGGCGATGCACACGATGCCCGTGGAGCCCTCGCCGATCTTGAGGAAGCTGTCCAGGTACTCGCGGGGGTCC